TCATTTCAGAAGTTATCAAACAGGTCTCCATTTTGCAGGTTATCCAAATGCTACTGAATAGAAAACCTTGGGTTCCCTAAATGATGTGTAATTAAAATTATTTTTAAAATCCTCCTTGACAGGCCGAGGCTTAGCCAAAATGTAAATGACATTAAAGAAGACAATGAATTTAATTTTATTTAATGTCCCTTTTTGCAGATCCTCATTTACATAGCATTTTTAACAAAAGCGTTGACCTTATAAACGCTGGCATTTGTACAGCTTCGCCGAGTTGGATTTAATCACGCTCGTGCAAGGCCATGAGGGAGGGAGCTTTAACTTCTCCGCTTGGAGATGGAGTAGGAATAAAAACATCGGGACTGGTCAAATGTTTATCCACCCTGCTTCTGAAAACAACCTGACAAGAAGATGTAAGGGGCTAGGGAATAACCCAGTGCTGTTTGTAAGGCTTGGTAATAATCATACATAATCGTTTGGAAATATAGCTAATAAAAAATATAATGAGTGTTCAGCAAAATCGGCATTAGGCCCAAATTACATGATATTAATACTTGAACAGGTGCAGAAAGGGGCTTTAAATGAGGTAAATGAATAAATTGTCCCAGAGCACAACTGTGTGTGCTGACAAAAAGTCAATCCCATGAATAATTCAGCAAGCAGGACTGCCAACAAAGGTCGGCTCTCTTTGACCTTTGTGACAGGAAGTGAAAGGAAACACTGTTGACTAAAAAAAGGAGAGAGAGGAGAGAGAGAAAGAGAAGGGAAGGAAAAAGAGAAAAAGAAAACCTCCAGTCCTTTTGGGCTACCGTTCTGCAATCACTTTAAAGGTGTGAACTTAAAACACACAGATGAATCAAAGCAAGGCTTTGGAGGGCTGGGAGGGAGCACAGAGCTAAAATCTCTGGTACTTACACCCTCGGACCAGAGACAGTGTGAAATCGCAGACAATGAGAGGTTAAGCAAATAATGTTTTTCTACAACCCAATGTCAATTATGTATAAAAATCTGAGGTCAGCTGAAAAGTATTTTCAGAGCCCACAGGGCTGAAATTCTGTAACAGCTGTTAAATATGACAAAACTTCATGCACCCCCCCCCAAAAAAGAAAAACTACAGCCATTCCAAACTCTGTATGAAAGAAAATAGGATAAACAGATGTCTGGCTCCCAGACAGGAAAGTAGGGACAGACTTGGAATGATAAGTCTCCCAAACTCTATAGACTAATGCCAGATTTATTGGGGAGGGGGCACTGCCTGCTGCAGAGATGCCAGCAAGCAGGACGCCAGAGACAGTGCCATCTGGAACCGCCCCGCAGAGCATGCTCTCGGTTGCACACAACCCACGGTGTGCAGCCAGTCCGAGTGGGCAGCCGCATTGCCCTGCTCCTGAGTCCTCCACAGGCTGCAACAGTTGGACCCCGTGTTTCAGTGCTCCCCAAGCGGAGTGAGGAAGGGGAGGGTAAAGTGATGTGCCTTCCCCAGGCATTTCCAGAGCTCCTGAGGAAACAGACCCGGATGGCACAGTCGAATAATGTGAGCCCAAGTGTGGTTTTGGTTTAGCAGCTACGCCGACATCCTGTAATCACTTGCAGCCCTTGGAATGCACGGGTGAAACAGGAGAGATTTATCTGCTCATATTTGGGATATGTGGACAATGGGTGTTCCTAATGAAGACCATCTGCTTTTGTGTTTTCCCAGAAAACATTATTTCATGAGGAACATAATATTCCCTTCCTCCTCAGCAATACCATAAAAATTCATGTATGTATATGTGAATGTGTATGCATCTGCATACACACACTTGCATACGTGAGGTGCCTTGGCTGTGCATGGCCGTGTGTGTGCGTGAGTGTGTGTGTGTGTGTGTGTGTGTGTGTGTGTGTGTGTGTGTGTGTGTGGTATGAGGAGGCAGGCCTGACTCTTTGTAGTCAATTCAGTATATGCATCTATGTTCCTGGGATTGTCTCTTACAGGTCATAGCTTCAGAATGCTATATTCCTTCTCGACTTGGTAAGTTGCCATATTATTTTAAATACATGGAACTGTTAAAAAAATGTTTCTCCAACAGTGTTTTATGTGGGAGAAAACAGCTCACATAAGGAAAAGCTTTATAATAAATGAAAAGATTTCTAATGGGAGACAACCTCCCTACGCCCCCCACTCTGAAGTGTCTTCCATGCCATTTGTAAGTATCTAATACTTCTGAAAGATAACTAAACTAAATTGTGTAATTAATTGATTTAAGGCATCAGGGCCTATAGAATGTGATTACCCTGCCAGAGCAGGGAGCTTACTTCCCTGTTCTCATAACACACAAAGCAGTCTCAACATGTGGAAGAGCTTGGTGTGGGTTGGAGCAAATGTGGGTCCATTGATCTCAATTCAGGTTGGAATTATTGGTTTATATCCTCAGGACAAATATGCTTTATCTGGTCAGAACCTGCTAAATGTATACAAAGGCCATAAGAAGCCGGCGAAGCATACTGTATAGAATTCTTAAGCCAACTAACCAAGTGAGGACAGGACTGTGGGGGACCTGTAAACTCACCGATCTGATGGGACATTTTATTCTGCAATACTCAAGAGGAAACCCAGGCTGAAACTCAACGGGAGCAACTGATTTTCAGAGGCAGTCCACAGCATACAGAAACGATCATCATTACGAAATTGAAGCACATCTCTGTTGCAAATGACCACATTGCTCCAAAGAGATTGCCCTCCTGAAGATGAGTCTCTCTCTTTGATTAACACAAGCTGTCCTGGCAAACACTAAATTCATTTTTTTCCTCTCTTAAACTGGAGATAGTGCCAATATCACAATCAGTTCACAGGGATTTACAGCAAGCAACAAAATACTAATAGTATTTTGTCATTACGAGTGACAGCTCTCTTAAGAATGCTAAAAATGTTCCCTGTATTTGTCAGAACATAAAACTATCCTTACCTTAAAATCCCTAACATGGAAGGTGATTAAAATTCCTATAAAATTGTCATATCTTTGAATTTAGAAGCAGAGCAGATTTTTCATCAATAATTAAGACCTCCGAAGCATTTATGCCAAGTGTAAATGGAGCTTCAATCCTCCTTATTCAAATAAACACGGTAAACCCATTAACCAAATGTTTTTACATTTTCCCCTTCCTCTTGTGCTTCTAGAATATCAATGATCATATACTTCTCTTAGGTTAAAAAGGTATGAGTGGTCCTTGCATACATTTTAATTAAACAAATATAAGAAAGACCCCCTCAGAGGAGAACTAAAGAGTAAATTTTGTATATCGGAGGAAAGCACTACCCATCACGTGATTAAAAACTGAGTCTCAGATGTTATTCCCTATCAATGTTCAATAAGTGATTGAACACTGAACAAACCCAAAGTGCTTTTAAAAGGGAAATCAGTGTCTAAAATGTGAGTCAAACCAACATGGCCCCTCCACCATCATGGCATATTTTTTTTCTTAAATTATGATTTAAAACCAAACCACATTTAAAATCTCCAGGTAGAGAGCGGAAGCCTTTTCACAGCCTTGCAGGAAAGGCTAACGTGGACTGCTTGGCAGGCTTCTTCCACTCAGACAAGATTCCAATGGCTAGCCAGTACCCTTTGAGCCCATCCAACTAATAATAATAATAAAGCAAAATAAAATGAGTTCCATCTCAAGACAACAACCCAAAGCTGCATGACTTCCATAGCCACAACACCGAAACAAATAGAATTGCATTGATTTCTGTAGCTCCCGTTTCGTAAAGTGTTGAACTTGTTCTCAACTGCCTGAGTGACGGCCACAACTGGTCAGCCCTATTTGATTACTAATAAGAGAGCTGTCCCTTCTGTCAGATACCAAACATTCTCCACTAAGCAAACAGCTATTCCAGCTAGTTAAACATTAGCAATGCTCCCCACTGGTGCCGCAGACTTCTTTAGGCTTAACTCGTGGGGTTTTCCGGGTTTAATTTTTCAGACCCTGGACAGCAAAGTTCATGATCAAAAGATAACTTTGTAAGGAAAGCTGCTGAAACTCAACCCCTCTTCAAAACAGTCTAACCCTCTGCCTCACAAAACTGGTGTCATATATACACGTCTAACATTTATTCGATTTGGGTACCAATTTCAAAATCTGCAGTCAATCACACACTGGGCCCCTTGCTGCTCCCCATTGTTGGGAAGAAAGACATCTCCTCTCCTCCTCAGAATAGCCTGGGTGAGTCAGGAGCTGAGGGTGGCAGTGTTTTTGTTGTTTCCACGAAGGCAATGCCAAGTGCACATTAGCACCATTAGGACTAATGATTGGTATCTTAAAAGGATGCCACATTGCCCAAGGAACATGATAAATGGCAAGATGAGGAACAGCAAACCTAAAGAATGCATATAGCTAATCTAGTTATGGAAATTAATGTTGGAAATGTAACCAGCATGTGTAATTAGTTTCAATTATAACAACTTTGGTTTGTTAGTTACATATTTGCTACTTGACATAAAACGACAGCCACAATTGGAAAAAAATTAGGAGACATTTTGCAACTAATTGAGAGCAGATTAAATTCATTCTACCACTGGGCGATGATTGCAAGAGCACCACCACCCACGTTTCAACTTCAACGACCATCCGAGGTAAAAATAATAATAATAATATTAATAATAACAATAAAAATAATAATGCAAAAAAATGAAATACTTGTTAACAAATTAGCAGAAAGCATTTTATGACATATCTCTGGGTTTAAAGCCAGAGACTCTCTAGGCATAAAGTGCTCCTCACAGTGAGAGCAGTGGCAGATGAAACTGCTTCCCTTGACAACTCGCAAGCAATTACTGAATCCCCACAGAGCAAGCCACCGGGTTTCCACGTCAACCCACCTGTGCACGCGGACAAATGGCGCAGTGCACAAGATGAGCCCAATAGCAGCCTCAAAGCTAAGGAGCCACTGGAAACCAAGCAAGGCAGAGAGTGTCTGGCTTGCTGCTACCATTTTGTTTGGAACATAAAGAAGCCATCCTTACCTGTCAATGATTACAGGGTCTGAGGGCGTCTCGTTCCGATTGCCACAACTCTTCTTGTCGCAGCACCGGCTGTGGGGCAATTGTAAACATGGCTTTAAGTATTCATCCCAGCTTCCTCTGTCCGACTTGTAATTTTTTTTTCAAAGTCTGACAATGAAGCGGTAGGAATCAAGAAAATAGTTTTCCTACTTAGGCAGCTTGACCAATTTCAGCCTAGTGAGTTAACACGCTCTTCAGCTAAACTTCTGTTGCAACTTCCTGCCGGAAGGAGCAGAGTTAAACGCATCTATTAATACTAGCGGGGTAGCCAGAGCTCCCATACAAATTATGGTGCTAAAATGCAGAAGACATGCTGTTGGTGTTTGTCTTTGCAGTGAACTGAGGAGGGAAGGCTGGAGGCTGGGGAATAGCTTTTCACAGCTTCGGCTTTTGTTTACCTCCAATTGTCAAGCTGTTATTTCTGGAAAAGATGCAAGATGCCACCTCTAACCAATATTTCTTTGGGGGCATTTATTAATTATAAGCACAAAAGCATGCATCAATCTATCCCAAACGTCTATTGTCGCTTCTTTAAGCCCACCTTAACTCTGTTATTGAAACTTTAATTAAAGCAGAAACGAAACAAAAATGTTATGCTTCTCGCATTTTAAAAAAGCATACTTGTATAATGGTTACATGTCTAAATTAGCTAAATTAACACCATATGGTAGGCAAAGTATATAAAGCCTTTTAAAGCTGACAGCTAAAGTGATTAAAGAAAGTCTACAGTCTTCCACTTAGAGCTTAAATCACATCTGTGCGCTTTCTATGTTAATTGCTGTACATGCAGAAGTGGATAATAAAGAAATTCCACTTTATTGGTTGTAATTTATATTTATTACCTGATATGAGAAAAAGTCAGCTTTTGTATATTGGTGCTGTAACAATACCTCTGCTCAGAAGTGGCATTCAGGCAACAGGCAACCATAGCCGAGGAGAGTATGCCCCTCAGAGTACGGGGCCTGCTACTGTAGGCTGCAAGCCTGCACAACCTTTCCTTATTATTCCTTGCAACTATATTTCACATGCCATACATACAAAGTCAATGATGCGTTTTTATTCGCCATGTAGGGGCGAAACTCTTGTGGTAGTTAGAAAAAAACAGGTGGGAAATTGCTCTTCTGACAGAGATCTCAAGTAACGGCACGCTATCTAACAACAATATGAACGATGCATCGCTGCTCTAGGGAAGAGGTTAACTGACAGAATCACAATCCAATTCTCACATACACGAGCCCTGTAATAAGTACAAAAGGCTTTCCTTTTTATCAATAACAGACAATTGTACGTCTCAGGATGCGAGCATTGGAGAAGGGAGTAGTCAAATAAGTCCCACGGAACTCTGGCTCCTGCGCGAGGACAGATGCATCCCCTGGTCTGTTTTCTTCCTTTCTCTCTTTCTTTCCTTTTTAACTATATTACCACGACACGACCAATATCTTAATCTGCTCGACTGAGCAGCGGATCGCACTGACCATCATCACTGACGGGGAAATTAGGTAGGAAGCGGTTCTGGCCCAGCCTGGGGCCTCTGGTCTACTATGTTTCAATGGATGCCCTCTCTTCCGCAGTTGGGTGGGGTGGCCAGGCGCCTGCAACGCCGCCTGCATAGACTTGGCTGGCGCCGGGTCGCCCGCCTCCCGGGGGCTCACCTGCACATGATCTCGTGGGTCAGCAGCACGCGGCACATCTCTGGGTTCTTGTCCTGGCCTTCATAAACGATGGCCTGCGTGGGGGACAAGCAGAGGCAGGGGTCACGCAGAGCCCGTGGCTTGGGCGCCAAACCACTGCAGGCGCTGCAGGCCTCGCGGGTGGCAGGTGCACAGCCCCCGAGGGGAGGCGACAGACATAACAGGCCACCCTCCCACCCCACCACCCCAGGCACGGGGCCAGGCCTTAGAGGCCTCGCACTGCCCGCTTGCAGAGCTCTTCCCACGGGCGCACGCCCGGCCTGGACTCCAGAGGGCTTCGGGAAGGGCTAGGCAAGACCCACCAAGACCAGGGCTCAGCCTACGAGGGTGCGAGGACTCTCACCGGCCTCCTAGACCGTGGGCCACCGCAGCCTGATGGGATCCTCCGACCATTGTCTACACTAAGGCCCGATTCCTCTGTCGGAAGAAGCCGATCGCAGTACGTTTGGGACTACAGACGCCAAGAGGTCGCGAGGCGCAGAAGCAGCCCTCCTCCCTCCTCGAGCCAGGAGATGCTGCCCCGGCGGGCTCCAGTTTCCAGCCCCGCGCCCTGTTCGCCGCCACCCCCACCCCCAGCCCGAGCGGAGGCCCCTGCGACTTTGGGCTGCGTGGCTCGGAGTCCCAGACCAGCGGGAAGTAGTACACAGCAGCCGCACGTGTTCGCACCACGCCGGGGAGCTGGCGGCCCGCAGGAGGGCCCGGGCTCGGGGCGCCCCTGCCCGCGCGGCCACGTGCTCCTCGCCCGATGATATTTGGAAAGAAAGTGCTAATGGCCAATCTGGTGTTTATTTTCAAAGTGCTAACAATGATTTTTCTCGGGTAAAAAGGCAGTGTCTGTGCGCACGCTCGGGTGGGTTTTGAGCAGAGGCTCCGCCAGATGGTGCGAAGCCCTAGGTGCGCTCACGCCGGCGCCCAGCCCGGCTCCACCGCCGG